CTTTTCAAAAGAATCAACTTTAGGTTTTGTTTCCTACTAGGAACCATATAACCATATGAAACTACCATATTTATAGATTAAAATAGTGGAATATCAGCAATTTCCTAAGGCTCAAACTAATATTTTATTAATTTCTAATCTTATCTTTATTATTTTCTTCTTGGTACAATACTTAGGTTTGATTTGCTGTTCTTTTTGTATAGTTTCTTGAGATCACTGAGTTTCAGGCTTTCTCCATTTCTAACATTTGCATTTAAGGTTATAAAGTTCCCTCTGGGCACTGCTTTAGTTACATGCCATAATTTTAATGTGTCATATCTTCATTATCATTTAGTTTAAAATATTAATTCTAGCTGTGATTTCTTATTTGATTATAGAATATTTAGGACTGTAATTTTAAATTATGGATACTGGGGATCTTTTTTTTATTACTGATTTCTATTTTAATTCCATTATGGACAGAATATATACTTTGAATCATGTTGATCCTTTGACATTTGTTGAGACTTCCTTTATGAACCAGCATCTGGTCAATTTTCCATGTGCTAATTCATGCCCCATGCGCACTTGAAATCAATGACCGTTCTGTAATTGCGTGCAGTGTTCCACATACATAATTTTGATCAAATGTATTAACTGTATTGTTCAGACTTTATGTGTCCTTAAAGATTTTTTTGTCTGCTTATTCTATCAGTTAAAGAAAAAGGTGTGTAAAAGAATACCAATCTGACTGTGAATTTATGTTTCTCTTTCTGGTTCTCTCAACCTTTGCTATATATGTTATGAAGCTCTGTTATTGAGTGCATACAGATTTAACACTGTGACATATTACTGGTAGACTGACTCTTTTATGATTAGGAATTTCTAATCAATGCTTCTTGCCTTAAAGTCAACTTTGTATGATAATAGGATAGCTAACCTTGCTTTGTTTTGGTTAGAATTTTCATGATCTCTCTCTCTTTCCATCCTCTCACTTTTAAACTTCTGTTACCTTAAATTTAACTTGTGTCTCTTGTGAATAGCCTATAGCTCAGTTTTCTGGGTTTTTTTCTTAAGTAAGTATGATAATATTATTCTTCCATTGGAGAATATAGTTCACTTAAGTGTAACGTAATTAGTGTTATATTTGGATTTTTATCTACCACCTTACTATTCATTTTGTTTGATCCATCTGTTTTATTTTCTTTCTTCTCTTTTGCATTTTTATTTGAGAATCAAATATTCTTACTCTATTTTCTCTTTATTAGTTTAATAGTTATACACTGAAAGTTCTTTTCATAATTACCCTAGAGATTACAATATGCATCCATGAGTTACTAGTCTTAATCAAATTATAATTTCTACCACTCCATGATAACAGTAGAACCATACAATACTTTAAGTCCATTTACTGCACTGTTTTTTGCATTATTTTGGAATTTATTTTTAATTCTAGATATATTTTAAATTTCATAACACATTACTATTTGTACAGTTAATATTTATAAATCTACTTACTTATACTTTGTGATATTTTTCATTTATTTTTGCATATCCACATTTCCATCTGGGATCATTTTCTTCCTGTTCAAAGAACTCCCTTTGCTATTTCTTTTAAACCAAGTATGCTGGCAATAAAGTTTCTGTTTTTATTGCCTGAATATGGCTTTTTTCACCTTCATTTTTCAATGATATTTTTGCTGGGAATTCTAGGTTGATATTTATTTTCTTTCAGTACTTTAAAACTTTGATTTTATTGGCTTCTGAGACATTGTTTTATTTACATACACATATATACATTTTGAAACTACTGCTGTGGCATTTAGTAAATGTACGATAAGGTATGAGTAGAGAAGCAAGTGCTAACCATTTTAGCTCAAATCCAGCTTTGTTGTTACTAATTATGTAAACTTGAAAAACTACCAAACCTTTCTGAAAATAACAAGGATACCTACAAGGAGGTTACATATTAATTTATAAATTAAGAGATATTATAATATACTGGCTAAGACCTCAGGCTTTGAGGTCAAGAAGCGCAAACTAAAATCGTAGTTCTACTTAGTGGGTATCACTGTGTGAGAATCATGTGACCTCTGAGCTCCAGCTATTAGATAAAGTAAAAACTCTACCATCATTGCACAGTAAATGAGGATTGGATGAGGTAATGGATGTAAAGTCTGAGCATAGTGCCTGGAACATAGTAATTGCTCATAAACAGAGCTCTTAATAAGAATAATACTACCATAATTAATATACTGTCAAGTGCTAAGTCAAAATAGAGGCTTAAGATTTGAACTGTTAACATAACTCAGATGTTCCCTCCAGACACTTCCAGGGAATGACTGATCCTCAAGCTTAACCCTTAGTGCCCTGGTAATGATAACAATCTAATGTTGCAGCTATCAAGTGATAAAGAACTAATTAATCTTAATTACAGTTAAGAAGGTTGATAATCCAAGGTGACAGAAGAAATATTTACCAAGTAATAATGCTGTGCTAGGACTGAATTCTGTCGGAAGGTTCTATCCACATGAAAAGATGAAAGCAATGTTGGATGTGTTAAGTCCTGGTCCTCACCCTGCAGCTACTATAATACAAATATCATGCCAGCCTCTGAGAATACAAAGTTAAATTTTATATGACCTTTTTACTCCAGGCTTTTACAGATGAATGAGGAAGACAGGGAAGTAAACTGGAGATTTCAAAAAAAATATGATTAAGTGCTGCGATGTGGCCAGTGTAAGAATTAGTGGGATGACAGAGAAAGGCTGTGTGGTTCAGAGGAATGGAGGCGGCAAGGGTGGGACAGTGAGTGCAACATACTCCTTATCTAACATAAAAGCCACATATTTTATTCCTTTGTGGCAGGCGTATCCATCATTATTAGAGAGCCAGCTTCAAAGATTGGAGCCTTAATGTCCATGTTTCCTGGCCTCCTAATCCTCAGGGAAGGTTTGAAATTCATAGCAATTTGTAGCTTTTTTTTCCCCACTTCCCTCAAAGAGATTTTTCCACATCACAAAACCACCCTGACATTTAATTCTCTGTGACTGGAGATCTCAACTAAAAGCAATGCTGCCCAAGTAAAGAAGTGTTTGCGTCA